GATTAACATGCACAAGGTAGCAACTCCTTGTTTTATCACCATATATCCTCTCACTAATGTTTATAACTTCAGTAATTCCTTTAAAGCCCTCGATGCTTTTTCTTGAGTGTTCCAAATTTTATTCATCGGATAAGACTCAATTTCCCAAATAACACAAAGAATTAGAATGTCAGAAGCAACTAAACATGTAAATAAAATCAATACACAAAGTATATAACATTAAAATAATAATAAAGTTTTGTCTATGAGGTTATATCTTCAAATCATTTATAATACCTTATTGTTTTCCATGATATTTTCAACTGGAAGTTGTGATTGGATTTAGGAATCTATCATGGTTCAATCATATTCTCCTATTTTTCCTATTTTCTCATGTTTCTTTACATATTTACCAGTATAATTTATCATTACTGCACAAAAAATCAACGAAATGTAGAACCAACATGTTTTTATGCTGAGTGATTGTTAAAGTTAAATATTGGTCCTTTAACCTAAAAAGCCTTAATGTTTTATTTTTATAAAACTTGTCATTGAGATCAAATCTAGTAATTTAAAATGAAAATTTGACAAAGTCAAATACAATGATCGAAATCCCCTATCCTAATAAATGAGTACAAAATTGCCACGTGGCAATTGCTCAGCCCCTCCCTAAGTTTTTTTCCCGCTCAAAATGTCTGACTGAAATACCAAAACTACCCTTATGTTACTATATTAAATACAGACTATCCATCTCCCTAAATCTCGCCGCTCTCTCCTTCAATTCCCACTTTTCTTGCACCCTAATCCCTATTACCTGACGTTTTCTATAATTTCTTCCCAAAATAATCGTTCTATCCTGAAAAAAATCAGAAAGCATATTTGAATTAATCTTAATAGCAAGAAATCAGGAATTGTGATCGACCCTTCATTGTCATTGTCATTCTGCTCAATCGAGCGGGTGATTACGGAAAATGCGTAACCATGTCTCCAGCCATTATGCCTCACCGTGCTTCTGATCTCTCAATTTAGGTGTCTTTTCTACTCGGCGTTTCTGGTTCGCCAATGTGTATGTGGTGTAAAAAGTCGAAGGGAACTGTTTATTCAATCTCACTTTTACAGGTATGAACTTCTTGATTCATTATGCGCTGAGTCACAGCATGAAGCTTGGTGAGTAATAAGAGTTCCCTGCGGACCTGAAACCTTCATAGATGGGCAATGAAACAATAACAGTGAGTTTTTGTTTCTCTGTTCTTCGCATCTTCTATCAATTTTTTCTATTTTTGATATCTAATCAATCTCCTTCACACAGATTAATCTGTTGGCGCAGTAAGAGTTCCCTACAAAGCTAAACACTAGAAGTTGCTTCCTTCATCGCCGCCTCTTCATCCACCGTCACCACCTTTCGCAACCATTGACGACCATCTTTATCTTCTCCGTCATCTTTACTTTCTCTGGCATTTTCGTCTTTTCTCTCTAACTAAACCCTAGCACGGAAGTCGTCATCTTCATTTTCTATTAGCCTCTCCACCAGTAAGAGCATGAGAAATAGAGAAACACACCTAAACTGACACAAATGGTTGCAGCTTTCGCTAACATATCCAAATTATAGGTGATTCCCTTTTGTTTCTTTTATAATTTTTTCTCGCAGATGTTATCAAACATAAGTTACTGGTTGGTTTCTTGAAATGGGGGATTTGAAGACCGATTCAAGTTTCTGGCAATTTGAAGTCAAACAGGTACATTTTCTACATAATTGACATACGATTTATCCATTTCTAGCTTATTCTTTTGACTTATGGTTTGTTCCTGTATAAGATTTTTGATTTCATTTGTTGACACACATCTAACCAGCTTGTTTTCAGATCTCAATTAAAACAAAATAAACCTCTTGAAAGCTTAATATATCTCATTATGTTGTAAGCTACTTATGTATGTACAATCTGGGTTGCTTTTTTTTTTATAGAAACATTCCATATTTTAAATGGAAAAAATAGCTATTTAGATGACATGTTGAATAGTTGATTGACAAAACTAGCTATTTCAAGTTTTGATGGATAAAAATATACAGCAGAGGAGGTGTTTTGACTTTTTGCCAACTACATTCAAAAATTCAGGTGCCATCTTTCTCCCCTGGTTGTTACTTGGTCTTAGTTGTGACTATTATTGACTTTTCTTCGTTGTGTATGCTTTTTGTCCAGGAGCCATTTCGTTTTTTGGCAATGAAGCACTTTATCCAGGTAGTCCCACATGATACTTAGGTTTTCAGCTTTTGTTTACATTGAAGTTTTTGTGGTTATAAAGGATTTACCACCGATTTTGTGTCATTGGTTGAAGGCACTGGTTGTTTTAATTCATATAGGGTCAAATTTGTCTCTATAGATCTGGATCTGTCTTTCCATGCTTATGCTTCTTCAGATTTACATGTAAATTTTGTATATTTTACATCTTAATGAGTTTGTTTTATCTGTTAATTTCTTTTAATGGTGGCTTGTCTACAGGATTTGCTATGTTGAATTTAAAAGCTCATAAAATCTCAATGAAGTGATGATGGAAAAGTTATGTTGTATATTATACTCTGTGTATTGATATCAAGTCTACGAGTATGAATTTTTTTAATAGGAAAGCTACGAGTATGTGATGTGCTTGCTAACCAAGGGGCGGATATAATTGGGGGAGGGCTTGGTGAGGAAACATCAGGTTATTTGATGGTGAGATGGGTGTTATGAAAGTAAATATAGGGAGATTCTTGCTGTCATTTTGGTGAAAAGGGTGGAAATGTCGTGAGCAGCAGGTGCTACTGAAGCAGTGAGTTGACTAAAGGATATGGAGTTGATGGAAGGGGCCTTAAGACTATAAGGTTTGAATGTCTAATTTCCAAATTCTATATTTTTTGAATTCTTTGAATGATTTTCTATATAGAGGAGGGGGAGAATGAGAGAAATGGAATAGACCATAAACAGGGACAACCTGGAAATTAACAATAGTTAAAGCTTCATTAGATATGCAGCTAGCCCAATGTAAATCCTTCTTATGTTACCTGATAAGGGAAAAGACATGCCAACATGGAGGAAATGGTTTTAATTTTTGTATGAAAAATGTTGTACCAAAAGTGCAAATCATTATAAAAACTGACTGTTGGTAGTCTTTACCAGAAGACAAATACACATCCATTAATTGTGTTGATGACTCCCTACGGAAGAGGTAACCAGGCTAATTTCAAGACATCTGTTAATTTTGACCAGTTAGAAATATTGTTTTCAAGACATTTGTTGATTTCTAGCCAGTAAAAAAATGCATTTCTTATACAGGTATCATCCATTTCATCCAATTCCTTTAACAACCCACATGATTGTAATATTTATTTTATTAGATAATCAATTTTTTAGTTCTATTTAAAATTAACACCCGTGGATTCCACGAGTTTTAACCTAGTATGTACATCAAATCAAATCAAATGTACGATCAAAATGAAGGAAGTTTACCTTACCTAATTTACCTAATTGAATCTAGTGTGAGCTTTTGTGAATATGTGTAGAAACTTAAGTACTCATACAAAGGATGTCGAGTGGCCGTTGCAAATCTTTGGTTGTGTTTCGTATTTGAATCGGCGTGTGGGTGAATTAAGGTCCCCTCGTTAGGATAACAAATTCAAAAGGGTGACGTTTTCATCCCTCTCGGTCCTCCCCTTTATCACGCGCCTCTTTCCTAGTCTAGTGCCCAATTTCTTTCATTTAGTCGAAACGTTTAGTGTTTGCTCCTCCATCAATGGCATATTTTAATATAACCCTTTTGGCCTATTTTTAATAAATTGAACGTTTTTTTATAGAATTCAAATTTTGTACATTGAACTAAAACTACAAAAAAATATAATATATAAATTATGTTATCTTAAAATTTTTGAAAAAAAAAATCATTGCGGCCAACATTAGAAAAATGAGAAAATTGGTAGTTTTTGAGTTAAACTAACTATACTAAGAATAAAATAACATAAAATAAAAAATGATATACAATTTTATTTACATATGTATGGGTAGAGATTATTTTGATCTTGAGATAAATATTTTTAAACCATATTGAATTGAATTTACTTGGTAAAAAGCAATCATCCTAAGTATTTTATTATAACGTGCGAAGTGACCGACCAAAGAAGATCCATGCCTTACGATTATAGTTTTTATTCTTAATTTACTTAATTAAAACGGCAAAGTGATATTGAAAGAAACATGCCAATTTTGAATTATATATATTAGAGGAAGCATATTAAAATTTTAAAATATAAGGAAACAAATTAACTACTCATTAATTACTTTCTATGACTTATAAATTATAATATTTGATTAAAAAAATCTAAAATTACCACAAAATGATAAGTGAGAATTAATTTTAGAAATTAACTACAAAATTATATGTGTCAAAATGCATGAGAATGTAACAAGAGACGGAAATAGTTTTTATTTATTAGAGTAGATTGGAGTAGATATATTTATTGGATATTCCAAGTAACAAAAATAATGCTTGTGAAATTTTAGTTTTGATATAAAAAAACCCATGTTTTTTTAAATCAATACAAGAACAAAAATTATCATCTATCACATAATAATCTTCATATTAGTTAAGGTTTAATTATATACGTACAAGAAGCATAATTAACTAAATCATTTTAACAATGTAATTTATATTATAAAGTTTTTTTATAAGTTAAAGTTTAACATATTCAATTATTTATAAGTTGCAATTTTGTTACGTTATTTTTGCTGTAATTTTCTATATCAATATAACTATGTAAATAGTTTCATCGTCACACCAACAATTAATCTATAAGTTATACATCATATTTAATTATTTAGAAATCATAAAATAACTGTTAATACAACAATAAAACTTATTTTTCATACGTTTATGTCAATATGTCATTATATTGCTTTAAAACACCCTAATGGGCTCCAAATAAGCCCATCGCTAACCACTGTAGGCCTGTAGCCTAAATCGGATTATCGGACTTCGAGTGCTTCGGAAGTGCGTTGCGACTCTGCAACCGGAGCTTTTTAGTTTCTTTATCGTTTTCAAAAGGCAAACAGAGAAACCCTAGAGAAAACCTCAAATTCCTTACTTTTGAATTGCGACCAGTGCAATTGAAAATGTCATTTTCTTCATATTGCCGTCGAGCTGTTAACGGATCCGTTTCTTTGATTACTTCGAGGATTAGCAGCTCTCAGATGAGATCCAAGCATTCTATCAGCCGTAAGTGTGTTTCTATTCAACTCTTGATTAAAATTTTTCTTCTTCAACGGAAATTAATTTGAAAAACTAAAAGTTAGAGGAACATTCAATTCGATGTCGTGATGTACATTTCTATTGATTTATGTAATTATGTGTATCGTCCTTTGAAAATATAGCAACGTACTATGGCGGTGTTCGTAACCTAGGTTTTCTTTCTAGGGTTTCAGTTGACATTGAAACTCATTCTGTTGATTGTTGACGGATTATTTATCCCAATTTTTAGTCATGGAGTTGGGATCTTCGTTGTACACTCGGATTGAATGTTTCCCCCATTACGGTGTAATTAAATAACTAGAGTTCGATACCAAATTGTGTACTGCGTTGTACTTTTGGAGAAAACTGTTGCTTAAAGACATGAATTTCTGTTTTTTAACTACTCAATGAAGCCCATAACAGCATGCATTTGAGAGTAGGAGGTAGGTGTAACATCAAACCTGGAACAAAGAATCCGTATTAGCATGATTAAACAGAAGCTTCCACATTGAGAAATGTGCATTAAGGGAATATTTTTCAACACTAATATCATCACCAATTTGTAGCCTTTCCTTGCCAATTCTTTTCCAGCTTCCTTAATCTTTGTTCATAAAGAAAGTTCTAATGAAAAACCTGATGCATGAAAAGGCATTACATCTTAGGATTTGAACAAATATAACTCTCTGTAATCTGTATCATTATCTAAAATTCCTTTCCCAAAGAAAACCAGTTTTACTAATGCGATCATAATATTCCTACAGGTGCTCAAAATGTGAGCTCTGAAAGGCCACTTAGGCAATTTGTTTCAGGTAAAGACAAGTCAGCAGGTAGAAACTCAAAGGGTCGTATCACAATTTTCCACAGAGGGGGAGGGGCAAAACGGTCACAAAGAACAATTGACCTAAAACGCAACACTTCATCAATAGGTGTAGTTGAAAGAATCGAATACGACCCAAATCGCACTTCACGGATCGCAGTGGTCAGATGGGTCGAAGGGGCAGCCGTTGACCGCCCGAAAAAAGTCAACTCCCTCCAAAAAAACTTCACCCCATCTCCCAAGATCCTACCCTCCATCTCCATCAAAGGTCAGTTTTCATTCTCTTCAATTCCCGGAATGTTAGAAGACAAAAAGGTGGAATCTTTAAGGCCTAAAACAGATCATGTAGTGGTTGGACTTCCAAAAGGTAGGACTTTGACTAGTCAAAGTCAAAGTCAAACGGGGATCCAAATGAGAAACGTGAAGGATATTTTCCTATCTGCTTTTTCATCTTCAAATGGGAAAAAAAGACATAATGCTCCTTATTCGTTTGTGAACGCGTTGGGTGTTCCAAGAATGGCGGTGGCAGGGGCAAAACCGGAATTTTTTGTTCCAAGAATGAAAGATGATGTGAAAGAGAATGAAAGTTTGTTGCTTAATGAGGTAAAAAGGTGGGATAAGGATAGTGTTGTGTGGGGGCATAAGATGAAACGAAAAGCCGCTGTTTCTTGGGGGAGTTTGAGGCAAAGGGGGATTTTAGGGGTTGTTAATGAGTCAAAGTCAAAGTCAAAGGTGAGAGAAAGTGAAAAGGTGGAAAAAGATGGGAAATTTGGAGTGGATCGAGCACCTGTGAGTTATATATTGGCTACACATCAAATGGAAGCGGGGAAGATGGTGATGAATTGTGATTTGACTACAAGATCAAATGATGAATTTAGATACTGATTTTGATTTTGAATATAGATTCAAGATATGACAATTGTTGCTTTCGTATTTGTAGTTGTTTTGAATTTTGATGATGATGATTTGTATGTTTGTTTATTTTGTTTGTTTGGTTTTTTTGAAAGTTCTTGGGTTAATGCATAACAATGATCTAGAGATAATTTTATCTTTCTTTTTGTTCGAATATAATAAAACAGTATGATGTTATATTACACAGCAAATTGAAAGTATAATGTTTTACTATGTGTGTATATGTTGTAAATAAGATGTAAAAATGTTCCATGTTGCTATTTTGTTTTTTTCAAAATCCCGTTATACTAAAATACTAGGTGTGAGACCTGTGTATTACACGGGTTGATTAAAAAAGTTAAATATAAAGTGTAGACATTAACTAAGTAATTCAATCTATACTAATAAAAAATTATTATTATGTTTTAAATAACCGTGTTGAATATGAAGGTGTAAAAATTAAGCATTTTTTAAAGTAAACTTTCGAAATAAATACAATAAATAGAGTAAACCACAAGGACCATTTATGTAATTTTCTCTTAATTAATCTATACTAATAAAATTAATTAACATAAATTCACAAATGGAATTCATAAATATATTAATAGAAATAAGAATTCACAAATGGAAGGTTTACTATATACATTAATTCACATTAATTAATATGAGGTGACATTTAATAGGTGGAAATTGAATAAAAAATGAAAAAAAATACAAAAATGACAAGTGGAAAAAAATTAATTCTAAAATTCTAAGAAAATGACATGTGTCAATTTCAATAAGAAGTTGACATTTGGCAAATTTATCTTTATTTATTAGGGTATATTTATTTATTAGGGTAGATTAATTGTTTTTTTTCAAACTGTTATTTCATATTTATCATCAATGTGCAGGGATGTATGAAAGTAGTGTTGTTATTTCTTTCTTTAAATATAAAATCCTTTTTTTATAACATCTAACTTTCAAAGTCATTCCACTACAACATTCTATTTGGTATTTTCTGGACACATTTGCCCTTAAACAAAAAATATTGTGGGTTTCAATTGTTTTTCTCAACAAATGGACAGTTTTGCCCACGTTCAATTAACTACTTTTAATACAAATGTATGATTGTAACCTTAGCAATAAAACATCTAATGTTGTGTTTAAAGAAATGTTGTGTTTAAAGAAGTATTTTGAAATTTATTTTTCCTAATAATTATTTACAATATGACTAACAGTTTTTTTACTACTTTGGTGTCAATTACCTTCTTATTTATCCTAGCGTTTGTATTTGTGTAATACTTTAAATATTGCTCGCTATAACATTTTACTTTGAAATTAAAAACACAATAATCTTTTTTCACAATATTGTGGTAGTCAATGTTTGGCAGTTTTCTTCATATCTTTTAAAGCATACAAATAATTATACTCTAAAGAAAAAAAAAAAAAAAACATGTAGGCTTGATGATCTACACAAGCAAAACCGCATTAATGCATCCATCATTCTCAGGATTATTCGTGACTTGAGCATATTTCCCTGCATTCAACCACATCGACAAACACATCAACATCCCAAAGAAAGATTTATATTATTATTATTATATAATTATTAAAAAGTATAATCATAATCTTACCCCATACTACTTTCCCAGCTGGAGTGACCAGACCTAGTTCACTCACATTCACCTAAAATTCACATCATTTTTTGTTCAAATTTACTACTATTTGTGTAAAGAATGTGGGAAAAATAAAAATAATAAATCAAATGTACCTCAATGATGGTTCCCTTAGTGACAACACCGAGTGATGTATACATTGGACCATTAGGATTCTTCTTCACACCAATCATTTCAAGATTGAAAGTGCACTTCAGTTCAGGATGTGTCACATGGGCTTTTGTGAACCTTAATCCAGTTGGACGAATAAATCTCTCATATTTTGGAGGTTTTCTTGTGAAACCTTGTCCTACAAATGTCACTTTTGTAATCATCCTCTTCCATTGTTTGGCTGCAAAGTAACAAAAAGTTATTTGGTTGGTTGTACACAAACAAAAACAAGCCTAAAATAGGCGAGGGTATTATGGGAATATAGTCAAAATACTCACTTTTCCTTTTCCCAGTTCTGAGCACTTTGAACATCTCATCTTCAGCCACTGGTCTCACCTGAACATTTCAAGAACCATATTTGTCAACATCAAGAATCAAATTCAAACATGATTTGAAATATATAGACTAGTTTCTTACCTTGGGTAAAGGCACGTCCCACTTCCCTGCTTTCTCCTTTCTTTTTTGTTTTACTGTGTTGCTAAGAATCTGAATGTTTCTTAATTATATTATATTACTATTTACTATATAAAAGAGAGGAGAACAACTGTTTTGTTTATTAATTTAAGGGGAAAGGAAACAAACCTTTGCACGTGTTGTGGTTTCACGATCAAGAAGATAGGCAGGAACAGCACCTTCCTGAACATCATCATCCACCTTGCGTCTACTTGATGATTCTTCATGCATGGCCAATCTATTATATTAACACACTTAGAAGTTAGAAGGAGCAAATAAAATGAAATTGATGCCAGAAGATGATAAGTAAAAGGGGAATGCATGATAAAAGTGGAGCATAGATACTTACGTCTTCTTCATTTGAGCCTTTTCTGCATATCGTTTCTTAGCAAACATCTTACCCTTGATTCCTAAAGCCTGGAACAAGTGAACAACCATAAAAGAAGGAAACTTTTTTAGTATTCCATGGCTTCCAATTAAGATTGAGCAATTAGTTCAAATTTTCTAATAAAACTATCCAATTGGGCAGAGAAACAAAATGATTGATAAAGAGGCACAACCTTTTGAGCAGTTTGGGAGCGCTTGTGAACTTCACGGGCTTCCTTCTTCCGCTTCCTCTCAAAGTGATCATGGCGATAACCATTTCTCTTCCTGTGAAGCTCTATGTAATCTCCTTGAGGCTTTTAACAACAAAAGAAAAAGGTTATCAACTCACAGAAGAATACCAAATTAACTGCTGGCATGCATTATTTTTTAGATTCAAGCAGTAAAGTTGGCCATAACCGAACTTCCTTAACGAAATTTCATTGATAAACAAAGCATGCGAATCCATCCCATAAGCAGTTAAAAGCAATTTTAGTCTTTTGGATGCAGAATCGTAATACAACTAACCATATTGACGTCGGTCAATAAAGCAGATTCAGCTTCTTGTTTGCTCCAGGCACAGTCTTTCAATCGAAACGATGTTACTTACCTGAGATGTGGCGGCGATAAGGATGGGATGAAGTGTGAAGGAGAGAGGTGGACCGGTGAAGGACGGAGGCGGATGGGAGGTGTAAAGTGTTACGGGCTGAATGGAATACAAAATACGAAGAATTAGGTTAGGGTAAAGAAAGCAAAACTTTGAACCATCCCTATATGAATCGGTTTTTAGCAGCCCAAATATTAACAAGCCCAAAGTTCTTTTTATTATTTATTAGGATGGTCTATTATAATTATAACAATATATAATACATTTATAAAAATATAAAAGTTGTAAAATATTATATATAATTAAACGGGCATCTTCAAGTTGAAAGTTTTGACTCTAATCATATCCATTTATTTTTCATGTCGTGTCGTGTCAACCCATTTACTTAAACGGGTCAAAATTACTCACACAAACATGTTAATTTTCGTATCGGATTGTCGTGTTGTGTAACACTATTCCAGATCTAGGTATAGGATGAGAGAAGCGGTGTTAAGGCGGTATCTATGTATGTTACAATAGCCCAGCTAGCCTAACTTATACACAAAATACAAGACAAACCATGTAGCAAATACTGTAGCCCAATAAATATTGGATGGTATTGTAAACGCTTCAGTCTAATACATTTTAATCTACATAGGTTATTATGTTCCTTAATCATTTGACTAACTTTTATTTATTATCTTATTACAATATAATCATTTTACTAACTTTATTTTTCAATTATTGATTATTACTTTTAAATAATAATTTTTATTAATCTTAATTATTATTTAAATAATAGTTTATAAATAAATAGTCACAAATATGACTTTTTTCTATGTCATATTTCTTTTGCGGTAAAAAAAATTAGTCTTTTAATTTATTGTGTTTTACATATGTTAATACAACTATTTAAAAAAAATTGTTATGATTCCTCAAAAATCATATATATATATATATATATATATATATATATATATATATATATATATATGCATTTACTAGATAAATAATTACAAACACCCCTTTAACGTTTTTTAAATTAATAAGGATTGGACCATTTATTGGTACGATTTATTTTGGAAATATGTTTCATTTGTTGAAAAAGGATTTAAACATCACACAAACTTACATGGTCTTGCTTTTTATTAATTTATAGAGTTAAACAGCTTTTGTGTAAAGAAATACATGTCAAAAAATTAAGGATACAAAAAGAAAAAGAAAATGTACATATTAATTATATTGCCAACAACTCATGCATTCGTAATAAAAAAAATTATGGTCTTTTAATTAAATAAAATAAAGGATATGATATATTATTTGGAAATATATAAATAAAAGTTAGAATAAAACAAATAGAAGGAAAAAATGACAGGAAAGAAAAATATATATTAAATGACAACAGGAGAAAGAAAATGGTTATAAAGCAAAGTAAAAAATATAAATCATATAAATTTATTACAATAGGAAAGAAAAAATGGTTACAAAGGAGAGAGAGAAAAACATAATTCATTAAGTAGTCTCGAAATTTTAAAAAATTATGATTTTTTAGTTCGGAGTCTAATAGGATGGAGTGTTTAAATAAAAAGCCTTTGTTTAGATTGATATATTATATGTAATACTTTTTGATAAGTAATTTTAATTTAATTTATTTGATAAAATATTTTATTTTTATTTAATTTATTTTAAATTACTATTCTTAATAATGAAATTTCTTAATAATGGAATTTAATTATAAACTTAATAAGATTTAGAATCGCATAAATTTATTATTAAAAGTATGTGTACGTATATGAGTGCATCTTTGTATAAGTTTGTGTGTCTATATGTCTATTTGTCTATGTAAACAAATAACTCCAATAGACGAATTATAAAATTTTTATTCAAATTTATTGATTTAAAATAACTATAAATCATTTTGAAAGTTTATATTTTTTTGTCACTTTTTTTTATCTTGAGGTTTAGAGCTTCTGGAATGTTTATCACAAACGTGTTTGTGGTCTACGTGGCCACGAACCAAGACTATGCACATCATCCCGGTGCCTCGTCATGGGTCGTGGTCGTGGTGGTCTGTGTTGCCGAGAACAATCGAGAACAGCCAATAACGCATTTAGTTACTCATTTGACACTTCTAATGGAAGGTTTGGAAATTAATTTTTTTTCCAAATATTTACTTATAAATATAACCACACATCTTCTTATATTTCACATAATCATTCTCTCCATTTATTCACATTCACACATTTATGTTCCTTGATCTCTCAAAAATCATGGCTCCTAAAATGCGGAATTGGTCGGAAGAGAAAGAAGAGAAGTTATCACTAGCATGGGTGTCGGTTTCGGAAGATGGATATAGGCAAATGTCTAGAGATTTTTTAGGAAAAGTTTGAGACGTTTTCTACGGTTTAATGGGTTGTTCAAGTCGTAGTATTTATGAAATATGCTCGAAGTGGTGCAATATGAGGGTAAAATCTGATGGGTTTTGATACATAAAATAGATAGTTTTTCACAAAAACGGGCAACGGAAGCTATAAACATTTCTAGTAGATTTTGTTGAGCATCAGCGCTACCAGTTGATCTAAAACCAATTGGTGTTAGAAAGGGCGCAACCTTACCCATATAACGCATTCAGCCCTCCAGGACCAGGCATTCTATTGCGGCACTCCAGGCCATCGTGCGAGGACTTGGTCGATGCCATTTCTGACCCCCAACAATCCCCCCCTCAGAAATTGCTCCCTGAGAGAATAGAACCCTCGTCACTGGCTCTGATACCACTTGTTGAGCATCAGCGCTACCAATTGATCTAAAACCAATTGGTGTTAGAAAGGGCGCAACCTTACCCATATAGCGCATTCAGCCCTCTAGGACCAGACATTCTATTGCGGCACTCCACGCCATCGTGCGAGGACTTGGTCGATGCCATTTCTGACCCCCAACAGATTTCAAGTATATAACAAAACCAAAACCACCAATGATCCTTTAAAGAGGTTAGAATGATATAAAACAACCATAAGGTGTTTAGAAATGACAACTTTTGAAGTCTTTGGATCCTCTTGGATTTAAGGTGTTGATGAAGATGGAAAGAACAAGAAGCTTGAACTTCTCTATAATTATCCACCACCAAGAATAAGGTACCAAAATTGTTATATTTCTTCTTGTATGAATTTGTTCTTTAAGCCTTAAGTGCTTAAACAATTAAGCACTAAAAGGAAGACACAAAGTGAACACCAAAAGCAATAACTAACTTCAAAAGAGAGAGCTCTTTTGGCTCTTGGAAAGCTAAGGGTTTTGCTAGAGAAAGAGAAGAGAACTGTGACCAAAAACTAGCTACTTTTTTCATGCATAAGAGCCCATTTGTGTACCCCATGCAAAGTATTGGCTAGAAAGAGAGGCATGGGGGACAAGAGGATGAAGGTTGACAAACAACATTTATCCCCTAAAAGTTTCGGTCATGAGGCCTAATGGGGACAAAAAATGTGCACTAGTGTTTTAACGATGGTAGAGTAAACATTTAATTTAATTATGGTTAACCAAAGTGTCCAAAACTTTGTACATGACATATGTTATGATATCGTATCATATAAATACTATTTTTCTACTTCTTATAATATTGTTTTAATAAAATAATAATTTTTAACTAATTAAATACAAGAGTTAAATTTATTTATTAATAATCAGTTACTTAATAAATATTCAATAAGTACCAACTTGATTAAGGTGTGACCTTATAGGAGCATATGTCATTACCAATGTCACTCAGTAATGATATATTAAGCATATAGATCAAACATAAAATGTTTTGAGTTCGACGGAATTTATAATTTTGTTATAAACAATGTACAAGAAGACGATATCGCTCTGGTTGTTTTGGTCATGCATCAATATGAAGACACAAATCACAAACCGTTAAACATCTCAAAGCTTGGGTAAGTTGAAAGATTCTCCAAAATGGAAAAAAACATTGTTTAAAAAAATGGGATCAATTGTAGTTGCACAATGCTTGCATTTTTATGTTTTTTTTTTCTATTTTATTGTAAGTTGTTTTTTTTAATTAATGTAATGTTTTTATTTTGAATAAAAGACTAGTTTTACAAAAATATATGTTTTTATTGTATTTTTTAATTAAATTTAATTAAAAAATGAGGTGTAGTAGTGTGTTTAGTGGTAGCTACTCTAAAGTAGGGTGGACATTTGAACCGGACCGGATCGGCTCTTGGATCGGCCGGTTTCCGAGAATATTATGGACCGTGGACCGGACCGGATGAGACTTACCGCGTTCAGGTCTAGGTACGTTTTTTTCGGTTCTTGAACACGGTTGGACCAGTACAACTTTACATGAATACAGTACAAGTCGTTAACACGTGTTTCTTGGTTTGATACAACTCGTTAAAACAAATATGTAGTTGGGTTTTAACATTACAACTCATTAAAATGAATATGTTTTTGGGTTTGATACGATATAACTCGTAAACATATATACGTTTCCGTTTCTTGTATTTGTTGGACCGGTCAAACTTTGATTTATTATACCATTTGTTTGAACTTTGAATCAAATAAGTTAATGAATTTATCACGTTTCATGCATAACTAATCTAACTTTATCTATAATATTGTAACTTGCAAAATTAATTCTCCAAAAATAAAACATCTAACATATAAATCAAGTTCACCAACAAAAGTTAACAATCTTAACAACAAACATACAAAATGTAATAAACTTAACACCAAAAATCATAGTTTAAACTTTAAAATCAATCCAACTAACAAACGTTATAATCTAATCTTCAATTGGCCTCTTCCACATATCATGGTCATATAAATCTAGCATTTTTAAAACTTATGCAATCTCTACAAAGACCACAAAATAAAAATGTTGTTAGTATTTAATAAAAAGTAATAATTGTATAAAAAAAGAACAAAAATTGTAATTTTTTACCCAAAGCTATATATCATCATCGTTCAAGATATCATCAACGTTGTCAATTATCAGATTTGTAGAAGTTCTCACCCAATATTAGGTGCATAACAAAGCTTCAACTATCAACATCAATAAATTAGTCCGATACTCACTTACAACTCTACCACATGTGCTAAAGGCGGACTCGAATACCACACTTGAGATTTGTATCGCCAATATGTCTAACAACAAAAGAATGAAATTGTAACAACATTAATTTATAAAGAAACTATGAATGACTAAAAAAAGTAATCACCTTTCGTCATCCAAGCAACTCTCGGGAAAAATAATCGCGTTTACTCTCCACGACCCGAGAATTGAAAAATCTTTTTTATAATTCACTGTATTCTCTTTCAAATAGGTTTCTAACTAATTATCACAATCAATGACTATTTGACTCGCTTCTCGTTGAGAAGATTCACCATTATCAAATCGTTCCAAGTAAGTCATAAATAAATTATCCAGCCTATTATCAACCTCTCGGACCATTTGACATGCTTTTATGTCTATGCAACCGGGGGTCAATAACGGTTCCATGTACCCGATCATTTTTTTTAAATGCATATAACAAAAAATGTGATTTGGTGGTAGGATCAAGCAAAACCGCAAAGTATCGTTCATCTTGTTGTAGGCCCCCAATATTTGTTGTGTCGATCGTACAAAGTGTATGGGAGGAGTCGTACGACTTTATTGCCAAATAAAAGCATAATTATCCTGTAGTGACCCTCGGTTGCATAGACATAAAAGCACGTTTCCCACCAGTCTGGGGTCCAAAAAAACGGTCAAGTCCACAGATCCCAATGTTGACCACTACCCTAAAGTTTTAGTGGTAGGTTGTGATAATGATTTGACATCCATCACTATAATGGTTAGTGGTGGGTATTGTTAAGAGGGGATGTTTGTAGAAATGACATCAAGTACATAGGAAATTTCACTGCTATACTTCTATAGTTAGAAATTTTTTGGCTTCCCTCTATTGACATGGGACCATCAGTAATCCAAACACGCCTTTAAGATCTCCAATATTTCAACCATTAATGTGTTCCTCTTAAACAAAATACTTGCATTCATATCTGTTGTCTTAAGCTCTTCTAATTTTAACGGACAAAGACAAACGAGCATCTTTCCATTCTCTTTGAATTAACATCTGTTGTCTTAAACCATAGATGACCATGACCGAATTAATTAAACAGCGTGTCCGAAATTGATTCAAACTACGACACAAATTAAGAGGTCATGTATCTAAAGTAATCCTTCGAATATATCTTCGTAGTGGGATAATATATGTTGTTATTCCGCTCAATTTTCACAAAGTAACTTCTTTATTAAGATTATGTTTCTTAGGGTGAGGAACTGAGGAAACAAATTGGTGTAGCTGCTTATATAGAATGTAACTCAAATACACTAGTACTCTAGATAAGTAGATTCCAAAAGATCCATTAATTTCATTTCGAAAAAGAGAGATTCTTCTTCAAACCTAGAAGCTAACATAAGCACGGCAAACTACAATACTTCCAAACATTACCTAAAAACAGATTAAACTTGAAGTTATCCTACATCACCAACGACATGTGAATAAATACAAAGAGACGATGAGAGAACATTTTCTTCAACGCCTAAGCTTTCTTTGGGGATTTAGCTGCTTTAGCAGGAGATTTGGGCTCCTTTGTGGCAGTCTCAAGAGATTTCTTTGGCAAAAGAACTGGGTTAATGTTGGGAAGAACACCACCATGAGCAATTGTCACACCAGCCAGAAGCTTTCCAAGCTCTTCATCATTTCTCACAGCCAACAAAACATGTCTTGGTATAATTCTCTTCTTCTTGTTGTCTCTCGCAGCATTTCCAGCCAACTCCAACACCTAATCCAAATTCCAAAATCACGTCAGCAAGCACAAACAATTCGAATTGCAAACAGATAATGATTATTAACGAAATGAACGAGTTTTACAAAAAGCCCTAGCTTTTTTTTTTGCAATTACCTCAGCAGCAAGGTACTCGAGAACGGCGGCGAGGTAAATCGGAGCACCGCTACCGACACGCTTGGCGTAACGACCATTCTTGATGTGCCGGCCGATTCTCCCGACGGGGAACTGAAGACCAGCCTTGACGGACTTGGAGACAGACTTCTTCTTTGGACCACCTGCCTTCCTTCCGGCGGCACCCTTTTTCACCTTACCACTGGTCTCCATTTCAACGTATGTGGATTCTAGAGAAAAAATCGAGGGAAATGGAGAGATTGTAAGTTTTCCGGCGAGTTTTTTGTTGAAGGTAAGAGAAAGAGATGGAGCGTGAAGGTAGCAAATGAATTGGGGGCTAATTTATATGGTACTCTTTTGCGTTGCTGATCCGAGTGGTTTTGATGTGTGGGGTTTTGTGGCCGTTGGATTGTATCTAATTGATGGAGGGTGGGATCTGACGATCCGTGTGATTAGTTTTTAGCCAATCGGAATCGACCATATGTAGCGTAAACGATTTTGAAATCGTTGTTTGTTATGCGAACAATTTTTATCATTTTAATGTGTAATGGTTTTTTATCCTTATACACTCTCAAAACCTATTTATTTAAATCTAAAGTTGTGGATGTACTTTATATCTACAAAAATATTGGGTAGAACATGGGTAGATAAATGATGAGGTATGAAAGATGAATATTGGTAGCTGCACCACAACCGGTAGATGATTCTTGAAACGCGATGTACTCTAAACATCCTAGCAGATGCACCTATAGGATAATATCAGCAGCTGCGCCTAATAGAGAACATCATAATCCTGGCAGCTGCGCCTAATAGATGATATTGGCAGATGCGCCTAGTTGAGAACAACACAATCCTGGCAGCTGCGCCTAAAGGATAATATTGGCAGTTGTGCCTAATAGATGACATTAGCAGTAATCGACTCCGTGCGTATTCCATATGATAAACCTTAGGACTAAATGAATGAAGGATGGTTGATTCTTAGGGTAGATCCTTAATAATAAAGAATATAATGGGGATGGGTAATCGGGTTGAATGATTGATGTTTAAACATAATAACTATATTATTGTGGGTTGAAAACCCTATGTACTCACCAAGTTTCCCAACCTGAACCACTCAGTTTATTTGTATCACAGGTGTTGATATAAAGTTGCACTACACTGAGAGATTAAAGTGATGTAGATCACTAGTGCAAATGAATGTAAGTTCTGTTTATGCTTGTGTTTCTATATTGACTTTGACATCCCAAAGTTTTAAAATGAATAAAATACATTTCCTCGGAAATGCTTTGATAACATATTTATCATGTTTTTCTGGGAACAAAAATTCCGCAACACTTTTCTTTAAAAGTATACTCTGATTTTGAAAATGAAGCATAAACAAATCGGTATTTTCTGGCCGTGAAAATGGGGATGTCACAGTGTGATGCGTGCAATCGGTCAAGCTCAAGTAAGTGGTTCCCAAAATACCAATGCATGTTATTTATGATATATGATATGATTATGAGAATTGCATGTTATATTAGGGCTAAGGATCTGCTCAGTACTATTTGATAGGAGAGATGCCTTTATATGCCTGATTGTATGAGCTTTAGAATTGCATGCTAGTATGTATATCTGATAAGTGGATAGAATGAATGGATTAGAATATGTTGTTTAGATTTCCCATTGTCTGAATTTTGCTTGCTTTGTGCTTTGTGGGACTCTTAGTGATGTGAATTGACTGTTAAGTGAATACGCTAAGTTACATGTGGCCCAGGTTAAATAATCTTAGAGTGATGGATTTGACCCTGTTGTGCAACTCTTGTCGGAGTCCAATCGTTCTAGCGTTAAGTCTTTTACTCGAAGGATTATCTAGATCTATGTTGCATGTGATTGTATTCATGAGGAAGCTAATTGACATTGGTGGGAGTCCTTCGGCAGCTGAGGACTGTGTGGGTTCGGGAACCTAGGAAAGCCTAGGATATGCTTCAGTGGGTTAGTGATGTTGTAAAATGAGTTTGGGTTCTTTGGCTTGAGGAAGCGGCTTAGAGGATTTAGGAGGATTGCTAAGGAAAGTATGGATAAGTGTGGAAGGTAGTATTGGGCCCATACTACTGAAAGCACATGATCCATACTCGAATCGGTGAGAGTCCTGGAGAATATAAGAAACTTAGAGGGGGAGATTCTTGAGTATGTTTTGATCGTTGGTTTATGGTATTTCAGTTTGGAGATGAGCTCTTAGAGAGGCGGTTCTGGTTCTAGTTTTGGTTATGGTTTTGGTTCTGGTTCGGGTTCTGGCTCAGGTGCGGATGCTGAGCCGATTAGCGGGCGGTTGCGGAAGTTCATCTCATCGGATATTTCTCATTGTATTTCGGAGATAGTGGATGAGCGATTGGGCGCGTTCTGTGCGGAGATTATAGCTGTCATTGGAGCTCGCACTCTTTCATTCAGGGAGTTTCGTGCTTGTGGAGCTCCTGCGTTCCATGAGGAGAGGGACCCCATTATCATAGAAGGTGGTTAGCGGATATGACTGACGTGTTCAGGACGAGTTTATGCCCCGAGGAGGCGAATGTCAGATATGCTTCCTACCTGTTGAAGGACCGGGCACGTGATTGGTGGGAAGAGGTTGGTAGTCAGTTGGTCGATGATGTTCTTGATGCTATGTCATGGGATGACTTCTCGACCAGGTTCCGAGCTGAGTTTGCACCGACGATTGAGGTGCAGCAGTTGGCGCGAGAGTTTGTGAGTATTTCGGGGTGCGAGACCCTGAATGATATGATTTCTAGAGCCCGATAGCAGGAGATTGATCTGGAGCACATTGGGAATAGGGGGTCAGGTCAGTTGCATGCATTGGAGGGTCCCGGGAAGATACCCAAAATTTCTGATCAGCTGTCGAGAGGCCATCAAGGTCGGGTTCAGTGCAGCACGTGCGGGAAACTGCACGATGTAGTTTCTCGTTCCAGGGGTTTGGGCTGCTACAAGTGTGGCAGGGTTGATCACGTCAGCAGGGATTGTCCTCAGGGGGCAAGCCCGTTATGTTTTCACTGCGATCAGGTGGGCCACAAGAAGTTCGAATGTCCGAGGATGAGGGCACGAGCAGTGAGTGCGCCTGCTCCAGTTACTTTGAGGATCACTGATGGACGAGAGGGTAGGGCAGTAGCCCCAACAGAGAGGAGTCAGACTTTTGCAGTGAGATACAGGTGAGATCATGATTCCAGCAGGCAATGTTGCAGGTATGTATCTTTTGCTCTTTTCGGTTCTATCTGTGGTTGTTATATTGCATCGGTTTTGGGTAAGTGTATCTCTAGTTTATTTCTTTGATTATGTTTGGGTTATATCTTCAAGTAATGTCATATGCCATTTGCATGTCGTGAATTATTAGTGGTCTGTGTTTCCGCAATTCATGATCTTTGGGAATTGGACTCTGATAATTGTTTAATTGAAATGCTTTTCAATGTTTTGAACAACGTTACGATAGTGTTTTGAATGTATTAAAAATGAAATTTTTACCTTTGATTTTTGGGTCATTACATGTTAGAAATAAGAACTATTATAGTATAAGAATCATAGGGTGATTGGATCTTAAAAGAAATTCCCTCATTTCTTTTAAGGCGTAGATGGTAAGATGGATATAGAAGTACGAGGATGTAATGTAAAAGAGCTCACACCACCATTTAGGCTAATTAAGAATGTAACATTTCATTTGAAAATAAATAAATAAGATTAAATAAATAAATAAATAAATGAACCCCGAGATGTGAATTATATTTCATATTATTTTATTGTAGCCCTAAATCCATAATAGTTTATTAGTGTTAGCCATGGGAGTAAAATGTTATAAATTCGGGAATTTACAGTCTAAGTTAGATCGGGTGTGGAACTAGGACAAGTTTCGCATCCTGGTCAGGAATAGAGGCGACTTAAGTGGTCGTTTAGTTCGAGGTTTTGTAAGTGAGAGTACAGGGAACTCCCAGCAACCAAGGTTGCAGAACTCGTTACTCGGTACATGCTCGGCCGACAGGGGAGTAGCGAGTACTCGGATTACTCGGGGAGAACTCGGATATGATAAATCAAGTAGAAATATTTTTATAAAAATTATATATGTCAAAAATATCTTAATTTATAATCATTATTTGATTAAAATTCATAACAAAAGGTTTAATTTCTCTATTAGCTATTTAAATAACGTAATTTGCAAACCCCTTAATATTTTAACTAATATTTTAAGTATAAATTCAGTAGATATTAATAACAAAAGGTTTAATATCACTTATGTAATCACTAATATTACTTTGATTTTGTTCCCAAATATGATTAAATCATCCACATACAACACTTATGAAAAAACCCAATATATCTTGACTAAATACTCCATTTCACCATTGATCAGACCAACTTGATGTCTTGCTTCCCATGTTGAGATCTGTAATTCATTGAAAATTAAATCATTAGAGGATTAAGAAGTTGACATTGCAATGAAACAATCAAACTGGAATAACTTTAAACCACAAGTCAGATCGATTATATATATATATATATATATATATATATATATAATTAGGTAGATCTAATAATTCACTCAATGATAACAATGATTAGAGCAAGTATAACTTGATTCAGATTCTTCAAATTGCAGATATGCATCGAGTTTTTATTTTGAAGCTGCTATGAACTCTATGATAAAACTCTAAAACTTAAAAATCATGTTGAACTCCTAGCATATCCATATCGATTTTTCAATCAGAAAGCATGCATCTCTTAATTGCTTCTAAATCCTAATAACAATCAATGCACCGATAAGCATTATAAACAAGATACACAAAAATATACACAAAATTTAACATTATATGAGAAGAACATAAAAGGAATTACAAACGATAATCTAAAGAAGAAAATTACAAACAAACTTATCCAATTAAGAACTAGCAGAACCCTAGAGTTCAGAATGTTGGATTAGGTGTCTATGCCCATAACTATTTTGGTATGTACTCGACCCAATTATGAGCATGGTCCTTTTGGGTTGCCTTCACCATAGCAACTGATAGGACGAATTAAGGAGAAAGAGGATTAATTATGATTTATTAATATATTATGTGAATAATATATTAAAAGAGAAATCATATTGTTTAATTAATATTGATCAAGAATTAATTTAGAATTAATTTTGTGGTCAAAAGAGATTAATTAAATAAAGGGGATTGATACTGTAATTATAAGATAGTTACAATGTTGGGCTTAGGATCCATAAGGAAGCAATGGACGAATTCTATATGAGAGTCCATATAAAAATCGTCCAAGGGGCCTTCTGGAAGGATCTTTGGGATGCTTAAGGACTAAGCAACTAGAT